ATTGGACTGTTTTGGGACTGTTTAAACCTGTGGTTATCTAGTTGTAGCTTCAATATAGTTAATACTTGTTTTAACTCAACGTTTCTTCTGTTAAAATAAGAAATCAGAAACAATTGAGATTTGCAGTTGCTTGTGAAATCAGTGTGTCTATTAAATTCAAGCTAAACATGTGTCTCAAACAATTTTTGTACTACAGTAGTTACTATCAGCAAGTTTGCTATTAATGTCAACTCTTTCGTCTTGTTGAATTCACTGTTTCAACGTAGGTACTAATAGTTTTAGGATAGTGGTTAATATCAGTAATTTGCTTGAGTTGAACAGTCACCATCAGTTCACTAATTTGAATCAACTAGCTGTTTGACAATTAGATATGGACAAAGTATGAATTTAGTTTCTTAACTTGTAATCAATATCCTGTTAATTTGATTAAGTGTACATTGTTTTACCTTATTGCCAATTGTTGAACACACTCAGAAGAGTTTGGAGTAATTCTGGTGGGCAAATGTTTAAGCAAAATATGGGCATGCCTAGCTTCAGGGATTCGATCCCTCGATCTCCCCTGTGCGGCCTGATCTGCCCTGTCCGGTTTGGACTGGCCTTAGGCCCAATACCTATGTTTACTGGGTATTTTGTACGGCGTGCACATATCATGTGGCTTGGGCTCTTTGGGCTCAAGCTTATGACTGACCTGCCCTTTGCACGCCTGGTTTATGGTCTTTCCATATGGGCTACGTTCAAGCCCAAAATGGCTAGAACCTGAAATCATATGAGCTTATGGACCCAAACGTAATAACTATTAGATAATAGTAATTAATTAGGATTTTTTTTATTATTAGAGACAAATAAAAATAGAAAATCATAGTCGCTTTAGGGTTGCCTTTTAAATAATAAAATGAGATGAGCCCCGCTAAATAAAATACATAAATTGCGGAGCCCTCAATAAATGTTTGTGTTAAAATACTTAGATTTCGGGACGGGCCGTTTAGAGAATTCCACGGCCTTCTCCATAGATAATAACGCGTTAGTCTCTTTAGGCGTGTATTTAAATAATTTTACTTTCCTAAATACAGGTGCACATTTATGTGACCCAAATCCAAGTCTCAACGAAGTCGAAATGTGTCAAAAATCGCGGGTGCATTTATGTGACGCGGTTCGAGACATGTTTTCACAACGTTGCAATTCTCTTACAATAATAATAACAAAAGCGGTTCAAAGTTAAAATTGCACATAGGTTCATAATGTATTAAAATCAGATAATAAGCCATTTATAACAGTTGAGCGACCGTGCTAGAACCACGGAATTCGGGAATGCCTAACACCTTCTCCCGGGTTAACAGAATTCCTTACTCGGATTTCTGGTTCGCGGACTGTTAAACAGAGTCATTCTTTTCCTCGATTCGGGATTTTAAACCGGTGACTTGGGACACCATAAATCTCCCAAGTGGCGACTTTGAATCTTTAATAATAATCCCGTTTCGATTGTCACTTCAAGTTGGAAATAACTCCCTTTATTATACCCTTTCGGGGGTGTAGTGAAAAAGGAGGTGTGACACCCGAGGTTATGGAATATATCCTCCCAGGATAGAACGATTTAACTCACCGGAGTGTTGGTACCAAAAACGCCGATGATCAGCGAACCACTCGATGACAGCAAAACAACACTGGAATTTTAGTGCAGAAGAAGAAGAAGATAATCAGAAAATTTCGTAAGTAAATATTCTGGGATTTGAAGGTCTATTTATAGCCAACTTGGTGATGTTTCAGAAGAGGTTTGCAACCTTTCAGAATAGTCATGACTGTTGGAACAGGTGTGACCCTCTGAAGAGGTTTGCAACCTTTCAGAACAGTCATGGCTGTTGGAACAGGTGTGACCCTCTGAAGAGGTTTGCAACTTTTCAGAATAGTCATGGCTGTTGGAACAGGTATGACACTGTTTTAGAACAGCCATGGCTGTTGGAAATTTTTGCGGGAAATTTAAAACGAATTTAAATTAATCTGGGAAAGAAAAACGGGCTAGACCGGACCGGGTCGCGGGTCATCCCTCCATTTATTTTCCCACCATTTTCCATTCACAACTCTTTTGTTATTATTTATTAAATAACAAACCTAACAAGAATCAGAATAGGATATTATACATGGTTTGGGGTGGCTAAAGGAAAACTTCACCTCGTTTGTACCTTGAAGAAATACATTGTGGTTGTTGCATATGATGATAAAATCCATAACTGGGAAATTGTACACACTGGCCAACTTTTGCACTGGTTTAAACATGGATGGTCGTCCTTTATGTTTTGACAACAAACGACTACTCTTCCTAGTATATCGAAGGTCAGGAGATGGTGCTTTTATATGAATATGATTTTGAGACAGAAACGTACAGAATCCTCGTACTTGTACCTACTAAATTTCTGGAACGTCAAGCTTTTGTACCTTTTGTTCCAACGTTAGCCAAGGTTAGAAACAACGTTAGATAATTAAATGGTTTATTTGATTACTCCCTCGGTCCAAAATAAGTGATTTTTTGGATGTTTTCACACAGATTAAGAAATCCACCTTTTAGCATTAATTAGCAATATAATTGACCATATTAACCTTTACTATCTTACATAAACACTCCTAACACATATTCCAACACTATTTACTCCAAGGACAATGTAGGAAAAAAATAATTAATTCATTCTTGAAATTGGAAAAATCACTTATTTTGGACCACAAAAAAAAGGCCAAAAAATCACTTATTTTGGACCAAAGAGAGTATTAGTTACAGATATGTTTTGCTTACACTCTTGCTAGGCGTGAAAGTGAGTAATTGTAATATTCTAGAATGTTGACTCTTTTAATTGATTTCTCGTAAATTTCCTTTTTAGGTATTTTGGTTAATGTCTAAATTTATAGTTTTAGACAATGTGTATTGATTAAAATTAAGACTATTATATAGTTTGAATGGTTATTGTTGCACATTCCATTATAGGTGCGAATCTTTTTCATGAGTTAATTATATAAGCACGAGAAATACATTTTGCTTATGACCATAATGAAACTCGAATTTCAAACCTGTATATGTTCTAGCATTGTGTTAAATGTGTGAAATCTTATTAGCTTAAACTGCTATATGTTGCTTGTTCTTTGACTATAATAAATGAGAGTAAAATTGATAAGGCGAGCTATAAAGTTTAAACATTAATATTATTAAACCTCATCATTTGCACTAGAGCAGAACTTCATTGGTAATTTTGGAGTTTTAGACGTGACGATAAAAATGGCTATCAACAAAATTTTCTTTAGAAAAAACGAAGAAAAAGAATATCTACATTTGCTTTGTGTACGGGCACAAATAGACAAAACGTTAGGGCTCGGCATATATCGGGTAAAACCGATAACCCGAACCGTTAATTGTTTATTGGGTTATCGGTATCGGGTTATTATTGGGTTAACGGTTCAGTAACAGTTTAGAATTTTTTCACTATTGGGTTATCGGTCCGGGCCTCGGTTTGCCAATTTTATTAATGGGTTAACCGATAACCCAATAAGAATTAATAAAATTACGACTTTACCCTTATGTATATACATATGCTAGGGCTTCAGTTCATTCTCTCCTATTCTTTCTCAGCCGCACTCTTCAGTTGCTTCATCTTCGTTCTTCATAGACCTTACTAGTTACTCCTAGCGTAAGTCTTTAGTCTTATACATTAGGCTTTTAATTTCTATAACAAAATTCATCTTCATATAGGGTCTATGGTTTCTTTTTTCAGGTTAGGCATTTGACAAACAACATCCATATTATATTGGACCCGTTTGAGGGCTTCAACGCTTGTGGAAGTGCATGTATTTTGTGAAATAAAAATTCTAAATAAACTATTGTTGTTATCATATCGGAGGAGGCAGCTAATGCCTTGGAACATTTTGTGGGAATTGATGCAGTTTGATAAGTATATATCTACTGATTTTTTGGTGAAGTCTATAAGGATTGAGTAGTTGTTGTCTTGTTAACTTGAATTTGAACTATTAGTACTATATGTTTGGACTTGTTAATTTTAAGGTGAAATTGCTACTACTTTGTATTATTAATGTATTTGGACAACTGTTGATGAAGAATTGGTACTATTCCAGTTGTGGCCACTGGACATAACGCAGAAATGGGTAGTATACTATATGTGAATTCCTCTCTTTTTTGCTTAACTCCAGTGAATTGTCTTCTCTTTTTTGCTTAACTCTAGATTGAGTTATCTTATCGGGTAAATCGATAACCAAGTCGATAATGATCGATAACCGATTAACCAATACCCGATAACTGATATCTTATCGGTTCGGTTATCGGTTTATCAAATTTGTAAACCGATAACCGATATAGTAAACCAATAATATTCATAGCCGAACCGAACCGACTGATGCCCACCCCTACAAAACGTGGCGATAGCACCAATCTTCTAACGGATATTAATGCAATATTAAAATTTTAATATACTTAATTTAACTTAATACTTGATACCAATCAAAGCACATCAATTTAAGCTTTGGCATTATCGACGTCCTACCTGTTATGAATTTCAATATTTATTTTTTCTAAGATGTCACATGTCAACAAATCCATCATGAGACAATTTACACAGTAAATTCAGCATTTGAATTATCTCGAAAAAGAATTTAATTTCTACTCTATACATTAATAACATACAAAAAATTATATTTTTTAGGTTACTTAGACAGAAATGAGCGTAATAGAGTAACATGGTTCGTGCGAATTTATATAGTTAATCTCAATTTAATTGAAACGTAATTGCTATAAACAGCAAAAGGTAAAGCTCCTTTACATTGTCTCTTGAGGTTGAAATTTTATGAACTGAAAAAGAAAGTTCATTATCATATTACAAAGAAATTAATTTCTATATTATTTTCCATATAGAACTTTTGTCTTGCAATAATATTCCATCAATCCTTTCTTTTATTTCAGACAATTTGAAACCGTCTGATCTTTGAATTTGACCGTTGGTGCGCTCCTCCTCACTTTACGGCGAAATTCAAATTATATAAAAGGCTCTCAAATAGGACAAAATTAACAACAATAAATTAATATTGCCAAAAGAAGAACGCTCAAAGCACTAATAAGGTAAGCACTATTTTTCTTCTTCTCTTTCACATTTTCCGCCGCTTCTCTCCTTTTCTTAAAGTTTCATTTCACCTATTTTTCTGTGTTTTTTAATTCTTTTTTTTTCAGATTTTTCAAGCTTTGATTTGTGTTCATTTCCAAGATGATGATGAGAAGATCAGACCGTAAACCTCCACTTGCTAGATCTCCTGTTGGCGTTCGTACTCGCCGTGTTCTTCAATCTACTCCGAACGCCATTCGTACCCCACCAGGTATTTGTTGTTAGAGCTGAGAGAAAAAATTTAAGACCTCTTTTGCTTTTTCATTTTTGTTATTTGAATGAAGAGAAATGGATGTTTTTATGTTGTTTTTCATTTCTAGTTAGATGGTTTTTTGAATATGAATAAGAACCAATTTCCATGCTTAGTACAATAGTTCTACAGGTGAAAGAAAATTTTTTGAGACCCTTTTGCTTTTTGAGTTTTGTATTTGGAATGAAAGGGTGTTGTGTTGACTATTGATACAGAGGATTGGAGCTTAGTTGTTATTCTGTTGTTTTTCTTCTGGTTTTTGGAGAATTTGTTTTGGCTAAGATCTTTGAATACAAAAAGGGAACCAATTTCCATGCTTATAGCCTGATTGGCCAAGCTTAAAAAATTAGCTTACTTTGGGAAAATGTAATTTTTTCAAAAGTACTTTTCTCAAAACTGAAGCTACAGTTTGTGTTTGACTAATTAATTTAAAAAATACTTCTGAGCAGCAGTTAGTGTTTGGTTAAGTTTTTAAAAAGTGTTTCTGTGTGTATTTTTCTCAAAAGTATTTTTCAAAAAAACGCTTTTGGAGAGAAGTTACTTTTTTCTGCTTCTCCAAAACTAATTCTGCTTCTCCTCAAAAACACTTTTTTTTCTTCTGAAAGTTTGGGCAAACACTTCAACTTTGAAAAAAAAAAGTACTCTTTTTGAATTTGGAGAAGCTCGGCCAAACAGGCTATTTGTACAGTAGTTGGAACTGAAATACAAAATGAAAGACCCCTTTTGCGTTCTCCAACTTGATAGTTTTAAAAGAATTTTCTTATTCCTTGAATGTAAAACAAGGACAAATATTCATACCTGATATTAAGGGTGTTCGTTGGTCGGTACGGTATGGTATTAAGACATTTCGGTTCGGTATTTTTGGTATTCGGTTTCGTAAAATGCTATACCAATACCGTACCTAATTAAATTCGGTATGGTTCGATTTTTTTTCCTTTTGGTTTCAGTTTATTCGGTTCGGTAACTTCGGTTTGAAACTAACTAGTGCATAGAGTCATAGACGGTAATCTTCTTAATTAAAGTACTCAAAAGTACAAAATTAAAAACGTTTGTTGACAAAAGTTTTGTCTAAAACCAACAAATACCAACCTATAGAGAGAAAACTTAGAGAAATATCTTGTTTCTTGCTTAGAGTTAATTGATGAACTTAGAGAATAAAGAAAAGTAAAATTTTAGATTTCTTATATTTATGTTATAATTAATAAAATGTGTATTGTGTAATATAATATATATTTCGGTAAGGTATCAGTATTTCATTTTAAAATACCAAATATCATACCTAATACCAATATTTTTTTAAAACTTAAACCAAATACCATACCGAATATCAAAATATCGAATACCGAATACCAAATTTTTTGGTTTCGGTACGGTAATTCGGTATTTACCAAATTATGCACAGCCCTACGTGATATAGTAGTTGGAAAATGACAAAATCTGAGGACCCCTTTTCCTTCTTAGTTTTTGATGGTTTTTAGAGATCTTTTCTTGGGCTAAGATTTTTTTCATTGTATGCAGGTTCTTTGACAAAAACTCAGGTGCCTAAAAGGGCTAGCAGCAATGTTGAAGAATGGGAACTTCGTCCAGAGTATCGTACCATTTCTTGTGAACTAAGAGCTTTAGCGAAAATGGTGAAGAATGAATTTGGTAATGAGGATGTGAATGCTATTGGAAACTCTGAAGCAATGAATGAAAAGAGAAGTCCTTTATTTGAAAGGGGAAGGTTTTACGAAGAGTACTCTGCTAGAAGGAATGAGAGATTGAAGAGGAAGAAAGGCGACATAGGAGATGAGAAGAAACCAGCTTATGATTTGGGAGTTAGAGTTGAATCTTCGAAGAAAAGAGGAGAGCCTAAGGTGTACCAAAGCGCGAGGAACTCAGTTGCTTCTACTCCAATGGCTGAGAGGAGAGAAACTCCAAGGTACTTCTTGAGAAGCGCGGCTAGTAAGGAGAACAAGAAGCCTCCATTGCCCGTGAGCATGGACAAATTTGTTGGATTTTCAGAGAGGAAAACTACAGTCAGAAGAGTTAGGAAAATTTGAGTTGGGATGAACCTGTTTTACCTCCTACAGATGTTTGATTTTTCCATAGACCTTTTATTTATTGAACAAAAAGTAATAGTAGTACTTTTCTTGAACTTTTGGATGGAAAATGTGATTAGTGCTGTGCAAATTGAGAAGCACTTGCAGCTTTGATGTTTGAAGTATATTGAAGAAGTTATGTAACTGATAGCTTCAGTTTTATTTTATGGGTGGTTGTGATATGAGTTTTTCTTTCATGTGTTGGCTTATCTTAATGATTATATATGTGTCATTCTTTCCATTGCAGAACCAAAAGTAGTCCATTTAACTACTTGCATTGGAAGTTATGCCTGTTTATTTCCAATCAATGTATCTCATAGTAACAAGTCTGTTGATTCAAATTATTTGGTGTGGGTTACTCTTCTACAAAAGGAAGAGAAGCCAACTTAACAAGCAAGTTGTGTAAACACCAGCAACAGCATGCTTGCAAAAAGAAGGAAAGAGTGGAACAAAGAGAAATGATAAACCCTACTAATCATAATAAAAACTGACCACCACATTCATCTCATACATCATCACCCTTGCACATGTCTGTGCGCACCAAAACAGTTTATTGCAGGTTATATAAATTGTGACTGTGATGCTGAAGATTCAGCTGGAACTACACATTTGTCCAACTTCATGACACCAGTTTCCTTCAGTAATTCAACAAGAGATAGACATATATAAGCTAGAAAATGCAAGTTAAATTCACAGAATGTTGGAATCAATTTGCTTAGACCCCGCATCAAAATGACCTAAAACTATTCCAAAGATCCGAAAAAGGAAGCCCTTTTATGACATTATCTGATAACAGACAACTTATATAAGTGTATTAGCCAATATTGAAAAGCAGCATCCACAAAATAAGCCAAAGTAGCGTTTACTTCAGTTACATTCTTTCCAATGCATAATACTCATTAATCAAAAAATTTGTCACCTAAGCTGAAGTAAAAAGAAAAAGAATATGTTAAATGGTCCTAGTTTAAGTCTTCAGATTGTCGCAGCTCGCTATCCATATCAAGTTGTAACCAGAAGATACAGAAGGCCCTTCAGGTACTCCACTATTTCAGATCCTCCCAGCTTGGAACTTCCGAATACTCTATCGACAAAAGTAATTGGAACCTACAAATACCAAAATTCGAAGTTGAATTTACGCTAAACCTTTAGAAAGATGAAAGGTACAACATACAAATAAAACAAACCAATGAAGCACTTGCAGGGACTAAATGTGAAGAACTGATATAGAAAACAAAACAAAAATGAAGAGACCCGGGGGGGGGGGGGTGGGGGGGGGGTGGTTGACTGACTGAGGAAAAATAATACTCTACTAATAAAGAGAGCTCTCATAGCCGCAAAAGAATCACAATATATTCCTGCAGGTTGACTCTTTATTTTTCTTGGAATGATGGTTATAAATATCAAACGGGTCACCGCCGCAAAATACAAGGTTAGGATCCAAGAGTTGATTGGGGGATAGCTAACAAAGAAACTCCCAGTCTCCATTAGTAGTCTAAAATTAGCTGAACTAAGTTAATAGGTTCATAATATTTACTCTATATGCATATATTGCAGATAAAAATCCAACCTTCAACTTTCCCTGTCATAAAATCTCAATGTGTGTGTGTGATCTGATCTTAATCTCTCGGCTGCGGATAAAATCCACTACCACTTGTGCCTCGTCAACTCGCTGAACCGAGAAGTGCTACTGCACTGGACTAAGCAGCTGATCTTTTTTATGTGCTGGTTGAAGTTTCGCTAGCACCTCCATAATGAACCAGTTCATAGTTTTGCCAAGTTCACCTCGGCTGCAAAATAGTTAGGTTCAACTTCGCTGTCATGGCTCATTATCTTTGCTGGTCCAATGGTGTCGTAAATGAACCGTAGGTTGTTCACTTTTCTGTACGCACACCAGCGGCAAAGTAATGGTTTTTGTTTTCACCAATGTCTTAACCGATGCTTGAGTCACCAAAGTCATAATCATCACCTTCTACCCACCCACCCCCA